TAAATTGCATGATCGTTTTTGATTTCCTTTTTTTTTCAAAAGAAAAATTTCAAACTGTTTATAGAAACATCTTGGACTTATTGGGAGTCGAATCTACGAGCCCTTAATGAAGCTATATATTTCTACTCTTTCACGAACAAAGGTCGACATACTACCACAGAGTTCAGATAGCTGCAAATAAAAACTTAATAGATGCCACTTAACTTTCACTAATCTAGCCCTAAATCACGTACTTCTAAATTACCCCTGTCTTTGTACCTTGCCGTTAATCAAGAACTAAGTAACGACTAACGAGCAACTTTTACTCCTATGTGCGGTCGGGCTTAAACTTTACTCGACTTTAAACCCACTTTAACAATTAGCTGAGTCGAAGTATGGACGTTAAACAGAGCATAACATTCAGTTATAACTGTTGGAGACTAGCGGGGTAACTGATTTCATAACACTTAGTGCTTGCGTATAGATGTCACTAAGATTACACGAGAAACGACGATTAGCTTAAACATTACACTATATAAGACAGTATAGGTAAAAATTAGCGGGTCGCAGGTTTAATCCCCACACATCTTTTCTAATTAATATATTTTTAAACATGTTGGATTTTAAATATTGTCTATAGTTTACGCGAGTAGTACACATTTAAATAAAACACTTTGGTGTAGTAAAGCCGTGGTCACGGATCTCCCGCACGGCTGCTGCAAAGTATCCCAAACTTCGGGCCGAAGTTAAAAATCATTTTCAATAAAATCATTTTCTAATATATGGCGTTTTAAACCGTTTAAGTGTTTTATTTAAATGTTGGATTTTGTCTCAAATCTGGATGTTAAATACCGAAATTTTGTCCAGGTCACGAACAGTCCACAAATGAAGAAGCCGCAAGATGTTGTACTGCTAGGGTTTTCGCCTTTCATTAATATACTTGTCTGTCCAAGAGGGGGTTCAATATTAAAAAAGATATTTAAATAAAACCGAATTTACCGTTGCCAAAAGGGTCGATAGCAGATATTTGAAAATGTTTTTAACTTCGGCTGCTGCAAAGCATCCGAAACGTCGGGCCGAAGTCAAAAATCGTTTTCAAATATTTCTTATATCGCGTTTTAAACCGTTAAAGTGTTTTATTTAAATGTGTACTACTCGCGTAAACTATAGGCAGTATTTCAACAAAGATTTCCAATGGTAGCAATTTATAGCTTAATAATAGCTCCGGTCAAGGGTTACATTATAAAAAAAAAATCTAAAAACCAATTTATTATTTTTCTAAAATATGTTAGACCACATGTGGAAATGTTTTACTTAAAATGGGTGACAAGACAAAAACTACACTTCTTTCGTCTCTTTCTATCTTGATTTATAAAACAAAGTAAGTCAATAATATCTTAAGATCTTTAAGATTAAATTAAAACAGATAAAGTAGATAAACTCATTTAATTAGCATCGACCGATAGCCATTAAGGTTTACAAATGACAATAATGCTCTATGTTCACAAGTAGACAACCCGACCACCGATTCGCTGGACCCATTAAGATAACACAGGCAATCCTTTAAGCACTACGCCTCTAAGGGTCACCGCACACAAGGCATAAGTATTTTTTAACGCGCGATCTATGTAAAAAATATATTTTTTTAACTATGAGTTTTAAAATATGACTTTTGTGTCTGTGTCCGGTGGACTCTAAGTGGCAAAGACATCGTTTTATTTATTTATTAGATTCAGCAACATTCTTACAACTAAATTCTTCACCTAAAATACAAGTGTAAGGGGACGCAATAGGTTATGAAAAACAATTATAGGCGAATACAACAAGCCAAAACAAATATTATAAGAGTGAAGAGAACACATTGTAAAATTTTAGTGGGAATTAACTTATACGTTACAATATTTAAAAACAGAAAAATAATATACAAAACAAAGTATTTTTTTTAATGAACAGCCTTTTCATAAAAATTATTCATAAGTAATCGACGGAGTGTGTTGGGTGAGTCATGGTAAATATCGACTAGGCCACTGAATCTGTTTAGGTTAAAGTGTTTTGTTTAAATTTTCTACAGCTTTGACTTTTATGTACCTCCATTCAGAAGAAATGTTTATTAGTGGTGTTGTCGCTTCTATTTTTTATTGTCGTAAAAGAGCGTTACTAACATCGTTTACTTTAACCAAATTAAATATACTTAAAATTAATTTCACAAAATTAGCGCCTCTAAATAAATTATTTACGAGAAAACTAAAAATACTTCGCATAATCCAAATGAAACCTCGCACGAGATAATTATATCTCACCTGTAATGTATCTCAGATGTGGGTTTGGCCTTTTTGAATATAAATAATCCAGTTCAACGTGTTATCGTCAAAATTAGACTGTTTTTCAAATGTCCTTAAACTTTTTTACATTAAAGCACTTAACAGCCTCTCGTGTCCAAGACTATTGCAAATCCGTAACATTGGGTCGTAGTTAAAATAAATCAACTATTATATATCGCGTTTTAAACCGTTAAAATGGTTTTATTTAAACGTGTACCACTCGCGTGAACAACTGACAAAACTAATTCCGTTTACACATACTTACTAACTACTGCATACTTGCTAACTTATTCTCATTTATTTTAACAACGACTTAACGTTTTGAATGTTTCATGACCACAAACAATTTTAGTACATAAATAATAATGTTTCAAACTAAACAATTAGACTGAAAAAGTTAAGCAAATTTGCCATAAAAAACGCGCCTAGTCATTTTAAACATTGCCCTAAATTCAACGTCGCGCTAACATTAATCTTCCTTACATTATTTATTAATACCTAATTCCTGCTGGACGGATGTGTATCCTCTGAATAAACTGTCTTTCTATTTTAAAAATAATAATTACAATTTTCATAATATATGCAACCCCCCCCCCCAACACCCCCCCACCCCCCCAAAAAAAAAAAAAAAAAAAAAAAAAAAAAAAAAAAAAGAAAAAAAAAAGGAGGGAAAAGGGGAGAGAGAGGGGGGGGGGGGGGGGGGGGGGGGGGGGGGGGGGGGGGGGGGGGGGGGGGGGGGGCGGGGGGGGGGGGGGGGGGGGGGGGGGGGGGGGGAGGGCCCCGCCGGGGCCCCCCCCAAAAAAAAACAAGGGAAGGGGAGGGGGGGGGGGGCGGCCGGCCGGGGGGCCCGGGGGGGGGGGGCCGGGGGGGGCCCGCGGGGGGGGGGGGGGGGGGGAAAGGGGGGGGGGGGGGGGCTTTATTTCTGGTTTGTACATTCATCTAAGTTCACTTTGTTGACGCCTACACTGCGTGCTAAATTCAAGCGACAGGTAATAATTAAATTAGTAACACGGACACGGTATATGTTCGCCCCACACCCCACGTCGGGAATAAGAGATTTAATGGACGGTATCAGGATTCTTCTTCAATTTACTGGACGAATATAAATATAAGGGGTAGTTATCACTTTTAAGAGGCAACAAAAACTGGACCTCCTTGGACGTCTAAATCGGTCTTCAACACAAATATGATTTTGTAATTAGTATTGTTTTATCATCACTTTTCCACAGTATTATATTATCAATAGTCTATACTAATATTATAATACTTAAGAATTTGTTTCTTTGTTTGAACGCATTTATCACTGGAACTACTGGTTCGAATTGAAACATTCGTTATTGGATAGATCATTTGTTGTGAAAGGCTGTTATATCATATTAAGCAATCAATAAGAGCGAAGAAATAGGGGAAATGGAAAAACAGGTAAATTAAGGTCTTAAAAATGTCTGCAAGTATGTGTCTGTCTTCTAAGATTAACTTGCGATAACGAGAAGATGGGGACAATATCGTGGATAACAGCTATAATTTCTAAAGCTGGGGAAGTTGTTCGCAAAAATAAATAATATGATGGCCAGAATAACTATTTCGTGCGGACTAAGTCACGGGCACAGTTTAACGTTACTCTTCTTCTTTAACTATACTCGGGACAAATATTATCTATTTATTATTTATGTATTCAACATTCTCCGATATCGTTATAAGGGAAATGTAAAACAAATATGTAAAAATACCTTCATATACCTAAATCAAATTAACACGTAACAATCTGTCATAACATAACAACGCGGTCGAAAGCTTTATAATTTCACGTTTAAAAGCCATATTAGCGTAAAGGCTATCAAAGCATTGAATTTACACGCATCGATATTTACGTCATAACTGAAACGTTATTGTCAAACAATAAAATTCTAACGGCATTATAAAATAAATTGCCCCTTTTCTTGTTATTGCTTTTCTTCCTGAAATACTATTTAATCATTTACCACGGCTTTCAAGCCCGCATCATCTCGCGTTTCGGCTTGTATTCGTGTACTACTGAATATCCAAAGCCGAAATAGGCCGCCTGCGCATCTTGTTAGCTTGTATCTCTGGGGTATTTCACATTACAAAAAGTCAACAGCATACATCCGCTTTTTATATAAATATACTTATTTGAATTTAATGTTATATTCAAGTAATGATAATAAAACTCTTTATTTCATGTTATACACGTATTTACAACTATCAAGAACACAGACACTTAAATATAATATATACAAATAATAACGGTTTATGTAAAGGCGGCCTTATCTTCTATGGCGATTTCTTCCAAGCAACCTTTGCATTTAAAAAGAAAAGACTTATATATATAGGTTATATGATAGAGGATTACAGACTAGCAGTTTACTTGGTGGAAAGTGAAAAACCTCAGTCAGACGTTATAAATTGTTAAAAAATTATACACAAACGAACCAGTGTATAGATAACTAAGTAAAAGTATCTATCGCATACAACTGTCGTTTAAAACGGGCAAATTAATTTTTCTGTCATAACGGACCAAATTATAATTATATTTCATATTTTTATAAATGGTCATTCTTGTTTTAAACTTTCTATTTAGGACATTGAAATACAGAAACATATAATATATATAAATAGAATATATAAAAGTTAAACAAGAGAAGCTTCATATTCGACACCTATGTAAAGAATTCTGCTAATCTAACTATCTAAGTAGTCTGCTTTTATCATATCTGAGCTCATTTCTCCTATCATTATAGTTGGACCGTTCGTATTACCACTTGTTAGATTAGGCATTACACTCGCATCTATAACGCGCAAATTCCTAACTCCATGCACTTTCAAAAAGTTATCTACCACAGAATCCTCTTTGGTCGGACCCATACTGGCTGTACCAACAGGGTGATATAGAGTCATTATCAAATAATTCGCATAACACTTCCAATAGTCATTACTTTTAAATTCAAAATGATCACATTCAGGTAGATTCAGTTTATGCACGAATGCATTTATGGATTTGAAATATGAAGTGTTAACGATATTAGTAATCATTTGAAGACCGGTTATTGTGGCTTTGACGTCTTTGGGATCACTGAGGTAGTTAGCTTCTATAATGGGATCATCATAGGGATTGCTTGAATTTAGATATATAGAGCCTTTAGAAAATGGATGCAGCAGATGTAAAGCGAAAACATATAAAGCTTTCTCCGAATTAAATTCTCCTATCGACTGAGCCAAGTAATCACGGTATGTACGAAAACGGGAAGTCGGTATGGACCGCAATGCGTTTTTGTTGACGAGAACAAAGTGACTTTGGAACTCGGGATACGGCGCACTCGGATACCGAGAGAAGAAAGCGGCGATATCAGTAACACTAACTTGTCCTAAGTATCCATGACCATCATAAAGATATCTGAGCTCGTCAAAACGTTGATCCACAGGGTTCTTGAAACCAGGTTCATCACCGTAAATAAACGTTGGAATCATATAATGGTCTTGCAAACGTTTTCCTACTGGTAAATCTACTTTGCATGGAATTCCAACCGATTTCAAATGTTCCTCTGGTCCTATTCCCGACAACATTAGTAGTTTTGGTGTGTTAATAGCGCCAGCGCTTAATATTACTTCTTTTTTAGCGAAAACATTGATTTTTTTGCCGTTTATATCTACTTCTACCCCATTCGCCTCCAAATCTTCATTTATTAAAACTTTTGTTACGTAGGCATTAGTTACAATTTTTAAATTCTTCCTGCTTCTAGCTGGCTTCAAGTAAGCTTCGTATGTACTCTGTCGCCTTCCGTTAGATACAGTGGCTGTGAATATACCCGATACTCCTAACCCTTTGCCGTATTGAGCATTTATATCTTGAACGTTATCAAAGCCCATTTCATTCCAAGCATCTAGTACATGCAGCGTATCTTTTCTGTATGTACTGTTGTAGTTTTCAATAACTAATGGTCCATGGTGTCCGTATGAGTGACTAATGTATGGATTCTTTAGTAATCTTTCAGATTGTAGATTTTCCAGTTTATTAAAATAGCGCCAGACGTTTTGCGGTGTCCAACTCGGATTGCCAGCGTCTACCCAGCGTTGATAATCTGGTGACCTTCCACGAATGTAGACCATACCATTGATGGAGCTGCATCCACCAAGCATTTTCCCCCGCGGCCATGGTATTCTGTTATTGATGTTGCCAAGCCCAGTTCTGTTGTCACTCTTTGTATAATAGTTCCAGTCAAATCTGCTTCCTAATAGTGCTACGTCCAGATATGGTATCTAGAAGTTAAAAATAGTTTGTAATTATAAATATTAACGCTGTTGAAATATAAACGAGTACATCTAAAATCTTGCTTATGTACAACAAACTCTTTGTATAACACACATATTATGTCACAGAGAATATGTCTTGCCCTGAAAATTGTATATCACTTTCAATGGTGATTTATTAATGTTCTGATGATATAAAAGGTGGATTTTAGTTTGGTATCAATGGTTCTAAGACTATTTTTGTGTAAAAAGAAGGCTTTTAAATAATCACAATATATTTTCTCACACGTAAACACATTGTATATTATAATATGGCTACTTTTTGGATTTGTTAAAGATACTGATGCTTAAAAATATTACATATATAAATAAAGACGATATACACGGCGGAAGACGGCTAGTCTAGAATATGTTTAATAACTTCACCTACATATGATTCAAATGGTGGATCTATCCCAGCTTCCAGTAACAAAATATTCCAGTGTCCCACTTCACTTAAACGATTGGCGACAACGCTACCAGCTGAACCGGCTCCGACGATGATGAAGTCGAACTTATCACCATCTGAAATGTAAATATTAAATTTATTGTCTGTATACAACTAGATAATAGTTAATCAATTTATTAGACTACAGACAATACTGACATACATAATTATAACTAATTTAGTGACGGTAGTTGATAAAACCCACTAAGCCATTGGACGAAACATAATGGGTGTATGATACCTCTGCCCAGCAACGTTAGTTAGAACATTAATATTAGTTTTATTAAAAAATGACTATTTAATTTAAATCCCTAAGATATTCAATATCTTTCAGTCTTTTAAATGAAATATAAATACAGTTTTTTATAAACCTAATTTCTTCAATACGCCTTTTATTATAGGGAGCTCTTACACTAAACACACTAAAAGGCAATATGATTAGCCACTGAGCTACGGAAACTTCACCGATGAATTATTCTTAACAGATTGTATCTCATCAACCTAATTCCAAATTATCCAACTGATAAGCTACAAAATAGTTATGTCTCTTTTGTACGTCCTAGAATTTTATGCAAAAATGTGTTATGCCTAACTGCTTGTTTATCCAGTGGTGTTAAATTAGTTTTTACAAATGTTTTAAAAATATTTTAAGTTCGACTTCGTATAACTACCTCGCCTCAAAAAGAGCGTTAAGCCGTCGGTACCGTTTGTGATAACAAATTTTTTAGTAGTAGCCGATAAATTTGACTGGCTCGTTGGTGTAATGGTAGCAAAGTGTGACTAAATATTAACGGGTCGTGGGTCTTAATAAATTTATAATTTTTCTGAAACACGTTTGACTTCGTCTAGAAATCCGGATATAAAATGGGCGTTGATGGTATATATAGAAATTCCGTCCGGGTCACGAACCACCGTTCACTGATGAGCCATGAAGTTTAATCGAGTTTCGGTTTTAGTCTGTGCATTTCCGCATATCAAAATCCAAAACAGCCGACAGCGCATCTTCTTTAGTTGCTATAGGCTAGGGTATTTCATCTACCATCACGTGAACTCCATGCGTGTCTGTTCTCCTTTATCATAAAAAAACTGCAATAAACCAGCAACTCTTCAGCCCTTTGTCCCATTAGAGAAGATGTGGGATTTTCGGCTTGGAACGAATCTTTTGTGTGCCAATGTGTACACTACCGAATTACCCTGGATAGGATCTGGCACAAAATTGTCATGTTGAAGACATTGTGTGGCTGCAAAGAAGTTGAAGGCGGCTGTAAAAATGTTTGGCGCTGCACCCGTAGTGAACGCTGGTTCTTGAGAACTAAAAGAGAATACAGATAAGATTAGCAGATCAATTCGGTACTAGGATATCAAGCCCAATATCTTATGTATTTGTATATATTTAAACTTGCATAGTGCTGTACTGGCAAGTAAATAAAATTCATTTTTGAAAATTTTGCAAAAATGAAATGACGTTACTATTTAAATATGAAACTTTTAACGAATTTAAAACAAGACATATATTACCACGTTACCACGGAATGCTGCAAAGCATTCCAAACGTTGGATTGTAGCGAAAATAATTTAAGTAATACATAACGTGTTATATAAATTAAAAATCTATTTACATTGAATAAAATTACGAAATGGGAAGAACTTGAACCGGCATCCACAGAGTTCCGTGCTGTTGCTCAATGCCAATGTGAAAAATATTAAAGTTACATATCGCATTTAGAACCATTAATAGAATTTTATTTGAATGAGCAGTGCTCGCATAAATCACTTACTACGTGTTAAACTACGTGAATTTATATCTTACCAGTGCATATTAAACAACTAGTGAAGCGTTTTAAAAATGAACACGTTCGCGTCCCAACAAGTAATACGTCCATCTAAAAGATTTAAAATCAAATTTATTACCCTATTTCCATAATGCGAGATAATTACAGGATGAATCATATCAACAATAATTATTTCTCATTTTTGTTGTTAATGTAACCTTAGACACTAATTTATCACAAATATTTATAGGCCTTATATCTTTCGAAAATTTAGACTTTTAAATAGTTTAATATTGATGTAATATTAAAAATCAATTCTAATAGTTATTGTATTTTTTGTACTATTTTTTAATTGACGTTTGTAAGTTGCGCCTGAGTTGGGACGTGGCAATTTATTACTCTTGAATTCAGTCGTTTTTTATTATTATTTATTAAGTTAGATATATTTTTACTATATATGGGCCGAGTTCTCGGTTGATACTCGGTATTCTTCTTACTCGGCCATACAACTCGGTTATTCTTTGTCATTATCGATTTTTCTTTACGAAAAAATACATTTAGGTAGATATAATAGTAATAATAATCATTTATTTGTCCGACCATAAATCCATCAGTTTCTTAAAATTAATTAAATCTAATGAGTGTCAGATGGGCTAGTAACAAATATTAGTATGTGTTAGTCGACTAGAATTAAGGAGACAGTAATTAATTAGTAATATAATTTAAACAATAGTGTCAATCCAAAAATATGTATTAGTAATTTAGAAAATCTTTAAAAAATCTCAATTAATAAACGCGTTTGCTAACAATCAAGTGACTGGTAGTTAAAAGGCGTGGACGGGGTGAGGAGTGTATCAAAGCGAGTCAACGTCTTGACCGGCGCGAACATAGGTACTCGTTTACGCACGCAAAATGGGAATTTGACTAAATCGAGTTATTCGGTGGAAAAATAATGAAGCCGAGTAGAACTCGGTACTCGTTACTCGGCAAAAGTGTTACGGTGCATCTCTAATTTTTACTATTTATGTATTTTATTTTTTTACTTGTTATTATCTGGTATCTGATTGTTTACATTATTTGAATATTATACAATGATAAATAAAAACAAACTATTTGTAATTGTAATATAATCATCAGCAATCACGTAGTTGTCTAATAATGACATTAGGGGAAAATACGATAATGTATTTCGATCTAATATTTCCTATCACGCGAACCAATCCACTCCTATACAAATACCTATTACTGTTACATAGTATATTTTTGAATCCTTCTTAAGAAGTGTTCGAATGATTTTCTAAAACAAACTAAAAAATCTTTGTATTTATTATTAAATCGATGAAAATAAAATCCAATGTCCATATTGGACACAAATGGAATAGCCTATGTGTCTGTCTATGGACCTAAGCCATAAATAAGACGATAGCACATTATATTTTTTTAATTATTTTTATAGAGTTGATGTTGATGCGAAGAGAGGTATTTAAGTAAGCTTACATTGCGACCAAGAGTCCTAGTCCTATTCTTTTAAAGCTTTTCGCTGCTTTTTTAATGATAGAGTACTATAGACAAGCATGGAGTTCTCGTGATGGTAAGTGATAAAACCAGCCTATAGCATCTAAACAAGATGCGCGGTCGACCTGTTTTGGCTTTTGATATGCGGAAATCCACAGACTAAAACCGATACGCGATTAAGCTTCATGGCTCTTTCATGGTGTTTCGTGACCCGGACAGAATTTCTACATCCCATCACCACCCAATTAATACCCAGATTACCAGACGGAGTTCAGCATGTTTCAGAAATATTATAAATTGAAAAATTTGAAACCCGGTGGGGATCTAATCAAGCTACGACTCTATTTTATAGTCAAACTTGTGTTTGTTCAATGGTTAGAAAACGCCTATACATTCACCAGAAATTCAGAATCAAAAATTTACACACAAGTCAACATTTCAAAGCAAATAAAACAAAACTCTTTCTATTTACACTAACTGGGTGGAGGCGTAATAATTTATGCGCCTTTGTTAAAATCACAATTATTCATACGTAAATATACTTAAAATACTCGGTGGTATATGGGGCATGGGGCGATCTGTGCGTTCAAATATTTGATTTCATCTATAGGCAAGTAGTTCTACAAGCTCATAATGACATTTTTGCGTTGCGACAGAATTGGCGAAGAGAGGTTGGTATTCAATTTAAGAGTCTTAGGTACATTAAAATCATATATAAAATCTGTTTGTATTATTTTAATAATCTAGTTAAGTTAATACGACAAAGCGATATGTTTTATATTCTATAAGTATTTAATAAGACAACTGTTATAAAGTCTCTAAGTTTTTCGCGTTTAATTGAGCAATAGGTACTTTAGCAAATACTGCACATTTAAATAAAACACTTTTAACGGTTTAATTTATTTCAACTACGTTTCGATGCTTCTTCTCCCCGATCGCAACTGCTGCGAAGCATCCAAAAAGTAGGGCTTTTGAAATAACTTTAAATTAAGTAAACCAGTTTTTTAAATATTTACATTCAATTTAATTTCCTTTGTTTAACATGTTCCATTTTTAGATATGCCTCATGTAAATCACCTTACAAATTGGAATGAATTACGACAAAATTAGCGTAATTGCAATAATTATAATGTATTTTGGATACAATTAGAGACATCACGGTGAGCACCCTAATAATAAAATTACGTTTAAATACCAAAGAAGTATACATAATATGCCAAAACCTAAATTTTGCTTCCTTTTTTGTGTAATACATACATTAAATAGTTTGGGAGTGGCTTTCGCCTAGTAGGTCCAATTTTGGTCAAGCACAAGCCTGTTAGAACTGGTTCTAAGACGTAAGAAATACTTTCTTGGTATGCTGTTTAGCCTCGGCCTCACAGGCTTTAGAATTAATCAAATTAGGACCTTCATATGCTTCTCTAGGTGTTAAGTGTGTTATTTTATCTATATAGTAAGTTTAAGCTTTAGTAGGTTTTTTAATGTTAATTTCCAGTTTAAATTATCTTTTTTATTGTATAATTTTATTTTCATGTTGACATTTGATTGTTTACTAAAATTACCTTTTTTATTTTTTATTTCTACATGTAAAGGTTGCCTGGAAGGAATAATTAGATAAGGCCGCCTTTGCACAAACATGTCTTATTTTGTAAATAGTTAATTCTACGTATCTATGTTCTTATGTCTGTGTTTGTGCAATAAAGAGTTTTTATTATAAAAAAAAAAAAAAGGGGGGAAAAAAAAAAAAAAAAAAAAAAAAAAAAAAAAAAAAAAAAAAAAAAAAAAAAAAAAAAAACCCCCCCCCCCCCCCCCAAAAAAAAAACCCCCCCCCGGGGGGAGGGAAAAGGGGAAAGGGGGGGGGGGGGGTTTTTTGGGGGGGGGAGGAAAAAGGGGGGGGGGGGCGCCCCCCCCCCCCTTAAAAAAAAGGGGGGGAAAAACCCCCCCCCTTTTTTTTTCCCCGGGGGGGGGGGGTTGGGGGGGGCCCGGGGGGGAGGGGGGGGCCCCCCGGGGGGGGGGGGGGGGGAAAAAACTTCGGGGGGGGGAATTTTTATACTATGTGGGGAGGGGCACGTTCTGTCTTATTGGTATTATTACTATATAAGAAAAAAAAAAAAAAAACCCCCAGGGGGGGGGAGCCCCCCCCCCCGGGCCCGGGCCCCCCCCCCCCCCCCAACAAAAAAAAAAAAAAAAAAAAAACCCCCCCCCCCCCCCCCCCCCCCGCCCCCCCCAACCCCCCTTTCCCCCTTTTTTGTGTTTTTTTTTGTAAAAGGGGGGGGGGGTTTTTTTTTTTTTTTGGTGTTGGAAAAAAAAGGGGGGCGCCCCCCGCCCCCCCCTTTCCCTTTCTCTTTTTTTTTTTTTCTTTCTTTTTTTTTTTTCCCCGGGGGGGCTTTTTGTCTGCGGGGCGCGGGGGTAGGGGGGGCCCCCCGGGGGGCGGGGGGGGGGTTTTACCCTCCGGGGGGGGAATTAATTTTTTTTTTTCTTTTCTTGGAAAGGGCCCCGGTTCTTGTCTTACATTCGCAGAACATTTATTATTTATCGCTTGATCTTGTATTATAGATATTTACGCGAGTCGTACACATTTAAGTACACCATTAACGTATTAGCGAACTATTAGTGAACTTATTTACAATTCATGTTAACTACGATTTGCCCGTACGTGTTTAACTACGGCCCGACGTTTTTAGTAGGATCGTAAGAACCTAGGTAGTTTATTCAAATACGACGAAACAGATGGCGCTAGCGTAGCGGATTTGACTTTGAGCTTTAGTTAATAAACTCTAAATAAATAAACTAATACTTAATTTACAACGATATTACATTTTTGAGATTATGAGCCATAATGTGTAAGCAGCCGTCATATAGTAATTATATTAATTTTTTTTGCTTATTTACCGCTTTCTTTGTAATATTATAAAATACGCTTAAGAAAAATTTATTTCTGTTCATTGTTTTAATTTATCAGCTTTTTATTTCAGTCAGTCAATATGTTAGTTATACCTAAATATTACATTTGTGAATATTCATATTAACATCTCTGCGTTGTATTTACTTCGCAATTAATGTTTTTTTTTTCGCCTGGAAGAGATTATCATTACCATTCGATATTAGTGTACATGTCTCGTGTCTGTTATTTTGTATATTCTGTGCACGATAAGACAATAATTTCACTACTTTTTTAATTTTATGTTTAGCTACAATAAATATATCGTTGATAAAGTAATTGTTTTGGTACTTTTAACTGGTTTTCGCAACTGAAAGTCCTTAAACTGTGGTAGACCTTCCGAGCGATTACAACACTAACTTCTAGTGTCGGTGTAAGTTATAACTTCCGTTGTGGAGCTTACAATGAATATTTTATTAAGGGAACATTTTTCCGTTAACTTTCAGGCACTTTGTTCTTTACTTCAATTTAAGTTTGCGAATTATCTCATTTAAAATTCATTAAATATGCACTTAACTGGACGCAGTTTTGATTAATGGAAGCCATTAATATAACTTTCCAAAAAATTAAAAAAAAAGTGCAGTGGCTAC